TCAATCAGTAGTATGTAGTTCCAATTCGCAGAGGCTAGAACTTGGTGGAAAACATTTCCATGCAAATTTAAAACAAAGTAGGACTTCTGGCAACGTCCAGTACGACATATATGTATTTATATGTATTATCTTTGAACATTGGTCACTAATATAAATATTACGGTTTTTGCCCTAGGAAATAAAGCAATCTAGATGAACTATTCTACTGTGTGGAACAAATCAAATATTAAAGAAGCAGACTGATTTTCACTGATATTACTGCATTAAGCGATCCATGTAATTTCAGTAAATCAAGAGCAACAGTTTGTTCAGAAAAAGATAGTACCATCATCTATTTTGTTGCCTCCTAATCATCTGCTTACAGGAGGATCTAAACTTAATGAAAAGTGCTCAGAAAATTATGCCTACATAACTTTTACACAGAGAGTTCAAGTTTAAACAAAATCAGTGTATGCATACAATCGTAAAGGAGTTACGTAATAAAGACGAGAGGTGAGTGAGTAACTAATAAATCGGGTAACAGTGTACTGAGTTCAATTCAAACCATAGAAACAAGAGACAAGCAAAATTAGACTAAATCAAGCGGGGTTGTGATTACAGCCAGAGATTATATAATAAAATGAAAGGGAGAGTACAGACATTTATTTACCAAACTGGGCAGGCTAAGACTTATCACCGCTTCTTTCTGAACACATAAATCAGGTTTCAGGCATTCGGCAGAAGTTATTTAGGCAAACTTGAGGAGAATTGGGCTTTTTGTCTATTGATAATTTAGAAAACCATCTTGCGACGTCCACCTCATGACTCGTGTCAAAGAAATGGCTGGTGATAGCACTGTTTAAAGCATTTGTTCCCTTTAGATATAGGCTTTTTGGTAAAGGTTTAGGAAATTGGAGGTGTGTCTATCTTCCTGTTCTCCCAATATTACTCCTACCGCAAATACACGTAAATTTATATACACAGTTGGAGTTGATTGCATCAGAGAGCAAGTTGTCCAATAGACGGGAACTAACTTAGTTGCAGGATAGGCTCTGGCTAGTGACGTACTCAATCTTCTGTTGACTGTCGCTGATATAATTTCACCTTTAAAATCAGGTTGAGTGAAAACGGGCATTTTTCTAACTGTGATTTTTTGACATCTGAGCATTCACACCCTCCATACTCGTTAATGAATCCTTTCCAACATCTTTTCGAGGACTACAAATTCTCCCTCTTCTTTCTCTGTAGAGTATATTCTCTTAGCTCTATAGTACAGAGTCTTGACAAATGCTCGTTTGAAGTTATTTGGGCAAAAACTATTAAAATCTAGGTATTGTTCATTCTATATAGGCTTCCGTTAAACTGACCTCTGGAGACTACCATCTTCAAGGTATTCCATGGCAATGTCAAGGAAATGGAACTTTCCATCATTTTCATGTTCCATAGTAAATTCGATATTTGAATTCACATCGTTGAATAACCTGAGTAAGTAGGAAGCATGACATTCATTTTTGCACGCTACAAATGTGTTTTCGACATTTCGACAGTCTGTGCAACATTAAAAACGGGTCGAAATACTTAACTGAAATTAATTGCAATTATTTGTTCTTCTTATTTTAGTATAATCGGTGATATTTTGTAAAGATATTAACTGCATTTTCGGACAGGCACTAATTACCGTGGGTTGTTATAAAAATTCCCGGTAATACTGTATTAATACACACATTCTTCCCTTGTGTGGTCTTTTCCCTTATAAGGTAGATGAAACAAAATGTTCCTTTTAGTTGAACAAATCTAAGTAGTCAGCAAAGTTGGTGAGGTGAAGATCTTGTCTATAATCATAATATCAGTAATCGTAATGACTCCTAAAACAAGAGAGTTTCAAATGTGCCTTCAGATTGCAGTTGGATATCTTCTTACAACCAAACTGTTAAGTTTATATGGTAAATTATGTGATATGCTGGCAATAAGGTATTTATTATTTAACTACATAAATTACTTATGATTATGATTATGAAATAATCGATGTGGTCAGACTTTCTAAAAATGATTGTTTAGCTATAAATAGGATAAATTTGTGGACAAAAAGGCGCTGGAATACATTAAGTGTTAATAAACGAGGATTAGTTGAGTTTATTCTTCTAATTAGAAACATGGTTTCGAGACTGGGATTCTAAAGGGTACCACTGAACGCTTGATACTCTTATTAATATTGGTAAAAATAGGAAAATAAACTTTTTTCATTATTGTTCTTCGTTTTTACAATATAAAGGCTATTTCAGACAACAATCTGAGTGAAAAGTTTTTCAAATAACAAGATGGTGCAATCTGAAACATGTGTCACTTCCTGTAAATCATACTGCATAGGAAGAGAAGTAGGTCCAGACTACATCGTTCTCGAAGATGATTTCGGTAGGAACCACCCACTGTTATATTACTTGTCGTGCATTGAAAAAGTTAGCAAATTATAAATAAAGTTTGCCTGGATGTGAAAGTCTCACTAAATTTGCGTAAATCATCGTAAAACAAGTGATAATTATTTTATCTAAAATTTAATTAATAACCAAGAACCATTTGAGTGTAATAAACCTGTAATGAATGTGTATTCAAAACAAGTACATGTATATTCTGTTCACTGCGTATATGTCTTATACCAGTCGGAAGAAATAACCGTAATCCATGTTCAAACTGGGGGCAATTTGATTACCAAATTATTAGGCATTTTATAATCTTCTCTTCAAGAGTTGATTTGTAAGGATTTGATTCTCTTTTCAAATTAGACCACGGATTGATATCAGTTGGAGAACCATTGAAAACCGGGGAGTACCGGACAGGTGTTTCGTCAGCGTAGTCCAGGACACATTGTCTGTACGTAAACACTAGGCTTCAAGCCCAGGACCTTCCAGTTACAAGGCAAGCTCGCAAACCATCCAGCCACTGGGATCCAATTCAATATGGAACTTTAAATTTTCATATATGCAAGTGTTATTTTATAGAAATATTTTTGTCAAGGTTAAGAAAATGAACTATCAACTACAAGTTTGATAAATACAATTTAAATTATACTGAGAACGTGTATTTTGTATAAATGGACAAATTATCTGAACAAATTCTGTTGTAATAAATAAAAATATAAGCCACAAATCTTTTCTTTTAATCTTACATGACTAAGCATGATTAATACGCGTAAAGTGCATAAAAAACCCAATGAAAGTTACTTAATTCTAGAAATACAAGACGAAGACTGTCTTGTTTTTTATTACCCAGAAATAGTTATCTACATACATTAAGATCAGTTGATAGTTACGGTGTGTTACAGTCATTAAACGCATGTTTAACCCCAATCCAGTCAATTACAGTTACTCAAAAAATCGAGCAGTGGACAAATACTAAAGCTTCCACTCAGTCACTGAAATACCTTACCAAAATAAAATACCTAAACATTTTAACGCAAAATGAGTTATTTATGTAGTAAAGTCATTCTTCAGTTTCATCAGGAATTGTATAACCTCAAACGATGATTGTGAAATTCCTGGAATCAACATTAGGTTGAAATGCTTTGCAGTAATCCTAGAAGAAACAATCAAATTAGTGAACGATGTCATTCTTAATACCACGAAAGAAAGACATGTTAATGCACAGTTAATATTAGTGACTACAGGATTTCATCATGAGCTGACATTAGTTAGAGAACCATTGGAAAACCGGCCAGGGAGTACTGGACAGCTGTTTTATTCTAGTTTGTGACTCTTCACAGTACGCACCCACCGCCAAGGTTCGAACCCAGGATCTTCTGGTTACAAGGCGAGCTCGTATATCATTAAGCCACTGGGACTCGATCCAATGGCCAGTCCATGAATTCTAACTATTCTAATATTAGTGAATTAGAATACATGTGCAAAATATGTATAAAGTAGTGAAGTTATTCCTCAAAAAGTCAACTGCAGTAACTTTGGGATGCAAAATGTTGCTTTGATTTAAACGCATCACAGCAACTTAGCTTCCATTAGAAACTCCAGAATAATTGCACAAATTGAACCAAAGCTTCAAGAGCTTTTTAGTTGGCATACTGGTAAAACAGTCAGTAGATGTTTAGACTTATCAGTAGCTAATAGCCTTCGACTGGACACTATTTATTAACTAGTGTAATGGGTCTAGTCCTTAGTTTACTGCAGACTGGGTGGCTCACCATCACTGCTCACTTTGAATTGTTGATGTTATATCGTAGGAGACAATCGTCAGGAAGCCTTGGACTCGGGTTTTGTGCTAGTTGTCACTCCCCAAAAGGCGCAAGTCCTAATAGCTCAGTTGTAACGTCTCGAACTGCAGCACTGGGTGACGCCAATCCGAATCTCAGAAGGGACATGAGTTGTTCCTTCAAGGCTGCAGATACACCTTGCTGACTAGTGAGTGTCAACCTGAACGAAACCTAAGTCGAAGGCTTCCTACTAACTGCTTCCTGCCATCTAATATTAGTTAGTGGTCTTATCGATCAGTTACAGTCTACAGAGCTTGATATGGTTATTTATCGTCAATCCACTTATGGTAATCACTCAGACAGACTACAGCAATTCTTCACTATTAAAAGGTAGGAAATTAACCAGATTACAGGATTTTATTACGCCTGCATTTGGTTATAGGTAAAAGGCAAGGCAAGAAGTCTCATAAAAACCAAACAAAGCTCACTTTTTGTATAATGTACAATTTTAAAAAGAAAAATGAATGGAATCAGAACTTCAACGATGCACTTGATTTCAACGAAAAATTGACCTATGGTAACAGAAATCTTAAGAAGTAACTAACTGGATTCACCGCATAGTTGGACTCATTAAGACTGTACCGCTGACAAGTGATTCAAAAAAGTAATGCTTGTTCAGCTCATATACTTTGGTTGGAGTCACTTTGAAGTCAATATATGGACGACACCTATTCTGAATCTTAAAGCTTGGTAATATAAGCATGAATTAACCACAATATTAACATGACATGAAGACAGTTAATGTGATATATGCGTGACATACCTGAATTTTTATCTTTACTTTTAAACCATGTGACTCTTCGACGCACCAAACATATGAGAACCAGTGTTGCTATAAGAACCAGTGAAAATATAAGCGAAAGACAAATAATCATAATATCATTGGCTGTATAACCCAAAGTCTTATAACTTTGTTTATTACTCAACAGATTTCCGTATGGTAAAGCTGTTGGATTTTGATAGACACTGTCATCATTCAGTTCTTGTATAGAATTTAAATGATTTTGATTATTGTCATAATTGGCTTGCATCATCGAGAGAGATGATTTTTCTGATGTTGCTGACGATGATGATGATGATCCCAGTGTCTCTGGAATGTTTATAACTTGTCCAAATAAACTGTATTGTGACTGTGTATTTTCCATATTGTTGATGTTATTCTCTCTGTTATTCTGTATAATAATTTTTAAATTGTTGTACAGCGTACATCTTGGTTTAGGATCTTTTCCATGGTCACATGCCTCCAATGTAAGTATGTGCATACTTGATTTTTGCAGTATATGCATTACATCATATCCATCATTTGACAGTGAAGCATCTGATGATGAGTTGTGCAACATGTTATCTTTGTTACTATCTTTCTGATTGATTGGATTTGATAAATACAACAACCCGCTAGTTGAATCCAATCCAAATAAGCCATAGTTATTTCCAGCTAAAATACTATACCTGATCAAACCATTCTCACCATCATCTTTATCATAAGCTTGAATATAAGCCAGCTTGTAACCTGTAACTTTCTGGTCTATAGCTATAGCCAGTGTATTTGCTGTTGAATTTGGACTAATGAATACTGGCCAGTTATCATTTACATCATCAACAATCACTGTAACTGTTGTTGTTCCAGTGTACCGGATATTCATTGGTAGAGGTGAATTAATACTGTTACCATGACTACCACTAAGACTATTACTCACTTCTGTTAGTCTCATTCGCGTATCTTTAACTAGCACACGAAATGCATAGTGAGATTTTTCTTCACGATCCAGAGACTGACGACTTCGAATAATTCCAGTTATTTTATCAATAGTGAAATTAACAGATTCTTGGTCATCAGTAATGCTGTACTCTAATGGTGCAAATAAAGAAGAGTCAAGATCTGTTGCAGAAACTTGTCCAACAATTGTACTACGTGGTTGATTCTCTTGAATATGAAAAGTGTAGTCATTTTGGGAAAATATCGGTCCATTGTCATTCAAATCATTGATGGTTATCTGAAATGAAATTAGCAGACATCAAGTTTTTATTGTGAAATTGTAAAAAAGAAATCAGAAAAGGTTAGAATTTAAACATGAATTTATTCATTCTAGTGGGAAGCCATGACTAATAGGGTACATTAGATTAAAGGTGAGGCAGTAACTCATCGATAGAGACATTGCGAAATGGTCACGCATTGTCATGAATTAGCAGAAGTTAGAATTCGTGGGCTGGACATTGGATCGAATCCAAGTGGCTTAATGACCTACGAGCTAGCTTGCCTTGCTACCAGAAGGTCCTGGGTTCGAAACCTGGCGGTGGGTGCGTTCTGTTGAACAGTTCCAAACCAGGAAGAAACAATCATCTAGTACTCCACGGTCTTCCAATGGTCCTCAAATTGATGTCAGCTCATGATGAAACCCTCCAACCAATGAAAAAATTTGAATTTACACTTCAAATAAAATAAAATCTCTAAGAATATTCTCAATCTGACATAGAGTCTAATATAAATGACAATTAAGTAACAGTGTTGGAGGTAACCACTATGTGAAATATGTTACATCACAAAGTGAAATTCTGAAACACTGAAGTAGGCAGACTGATCGATGGATGCATTAGAAAATATACAAAATTTATAACAGTACTCAAAGAAAATGTCATTATATAACGCAGCTTGATACACTTTAATTTTTACAGCAACGTTTTGTTATATTACTTTTGACTGAAACGTTCAGTCAACCGAATTTAAGAAATATATGACTCTGATATTAGTGAATGGGAGTTTAAATGATTTCGAAACTCTTATTAGTTCTCTAATTGGTATAGATTTTAACTACACAGGTATTTTTAAAAGTTGGTCTCAAAGATTTGATTGAGTTCAGTTGTGATTACAAGTTGGATTTAGTTAGAGAACCATTGGAAACCTTGAAGTACTTTTTCGTCTGTTTCTTCCTCATTTAGGACTCTTCACAGTGCGCACCCATAACTCCACTGAGGATCAAACCCAGGATCCCCAGGTTATACAGAGAACTCATGTAACATTCAGCCACTGGTATGGAATCCAATGACCCAACAGTTCTAACTTCTAGCTTGAGTCAGTTTTATATCAACCGAAGATCTAAATATCCGTTCACTCTTCTTTACTAAGCAGCTTCATGATGAACTTCATCGAGTTTATAGTATAAAATCGTTTCTGGTGATACTTTAAACTCATCTTCAAGATATGCATTTCTTAAATCATTTTAAATCCTCTGTAGATATGATAGAGAAGATTTGTAGCTCAGGTGGATGATTTTGATGTGGTTTTGTTCTCCGAGCTGGATGGTTAGTTTATCAACCAATAAGAAAGAAACTTCACACACAAAGGGTCAAAGTTCAAGTCAAAGAAACAACCGGTTCCAATACAAGTAACCTAGAAGGTGTGAAAACACACACAAACAACCAATCACGTCCAAGGTCACCAGGAGAGATGATTAATAAACTCGTGGAGAAATCTAAAAGCTCACTTCAAATTGAAGTATGCGCTGAAGATGTCACCCAGTAAGGTGATGAAAGCTTCGCAAACTAACCATCCACCTCGGAGAACAAAACCACATCAAAATCCTCTGTAGTTTTGTTTGTAAGGGTTAGTTATGTTTTTCCCGAGTTGATCACGGACTGATATCAGTTAGAGAACCATTGAAAACCAGGGAGTACTGGAAAGCTGCTGTTTCATCCTAGTTTGGGAATCATTGGCAATACACACCCACTGGGATTCGAACCCAAGACCTTCCGGTTACAAGGCAAGCTCGTATACCATTCAGACACTGGGACCCTATTCAATGGCTCATGAATCCTAACTTTTACCAGTTTTTGATTTGGCGCGACTCCAACTATTGTCGTTGGTGGGACATCCATCCTCACACGTGACATCTAATTGGACCTCACTGGTCACGACTTCTCACTAGAGCTCCAGGAAACTCCATCCCCTAGCAAGTCACTAGCGAACATCAGAATAATTTTCTATAGTTTAGTTTGTAAGGGTTAGTTATGTTTTTACGAATACTGCCGATGATTCCCAAACCAGGATGAAACAGCAGCTGTCCAGTACTTCCTGGTTTTCAATGGTTCTCTGACTGATATCAATCCGTGATCAAATCGGAAAAAACATTTTAAATCTGTTATACAGAATCGTTAGAACGTTGTCACTGGAGCTTTCATGTATACATTTCTTTTATTTAGTTACTAAGATTCTAACTGAAATTTCTTCACCTTTCATTTCACCTTTTGTCTGAACAACTAACTGTTCAAGGCAAAATGATTGTTTACGTTGGTTTTGTTGTTGTTTGACAATGAATATTTTACTAAAGTTTGTGTGTACTTTAACTAATTAATTATCGATTTAACGTGTTAGAACCACCTGAATAATGTTAAAGTCCATGACCTGTGTAGTGCAGACGCAGTAGTATTGTGACAATAAACACATCATGAACAATGACGATAAAGTTTGTAATGACTGATTCTGAGATTTTAATGCCATGTTTACGTATATACTGTTTCATTTTGTCGTATATTCTTCATGTACAATATGCCGTGAAAAATTAACCTTTTTGTCTGATTTTGAATTACTTTATTTGATTTTACCGTTGTTTTTTATAGAAGTCTACTAAAGGTTTAATTTGTCTGATAACTCCAGCATAAAACAATGAATTTAATGGCATTCTGTTTTAAACATGGCTCGATTATTCACTCGCGAACAATTAGCAAACATTAGGTTGTCTTGTGATTATGCAAGTACTCTATCTTGATCTCAAACTTTAATCTGATTTTAAAAGTTTAAAGTCACTTTAGTAGAAAGTTTTCGATGTGATTTAATTTTCATATTCGTTAACAGCGCCATTCACAGCCTATTGGTATTTGTGTTTGATTTCCAAATTGAAATATGCATAACATTAGAATTCGATTGTTAAAACAAGCAGATAGCCATTACTGTTTACACTTGAGAATATCATTTCTTTGAAATAGTTGTGTTCCCAGAGCTGGCTTATTTAATTGCGAAGCTTTCGTCTTCCTTCTGAACAACATGGCAAAGTTCAACAATAGCGTCTCAGGAGTACGAACGCACGAGTGACCTTCAGCTAACTGATCATAAAAATGAGGAATATTTGCTCAAAAAATGATATATATATTGACAAGAAAGTGCTTGAAAACGCACTAATTAGGTTATCTTTCCCTGACATGGCTTAAAAATACGTCCTAGTTATATCAAGGAGAATTAATTGCTAAGTTAGACTACTTTCTGTACACATATTCACCGAGATGACTACAGATAAACTGTTTCTGTGGATCATTTATCTCTCTCATCCTGCTTGCAGTCTTCCAAAAAGCAGCCCTCGGTTGAATTACTATGGTTTTCAGCAAGAGGATAGACGACTGCTAAGCAGGAAAACGTGTATAATAAAGCAAATTAAAATAAATGACACCAAGTATAAATCTATCCCTAATCGTAACCATAAGCTTAATCCTAACCCTAACACTAACCCTAACTTTAATCCTTACCCTAATCATAACCCTTGTCCATACCCTAATTCTAACCCTAATGCTAATTATAACCGTGATCCTAACCCTAACCCCAATACTTACCTTAACCCTAATCCTAACCCTAACGAGCTATTAACACAGTGTCCAAATAGTAGATAAAAACGTGATCTGGGTGATATTTGCTACTAAGCTGATGAATAGCGTTGATATTTCAGCCATGATAATGACAGATGCCGTTAGCCAACAATTAGCATGCGTTCAAGGTCATTGGAGCGTTCACACTCCTGAGACGCTATTGTTAAACTTCGTCAACATCTTCATTTCATGTTTTAGTATAAAATGAACTCATTTGAATTCTCCACGAATGATGTAATTGTATCGCCTAGCAACCACTGTGGTGACTGGTTGTTAATTTATATCTCGATTGATCAGTTTTCTTAGAATTCGAAATTTCTTGTCGTGTGATATACTTTTTATTAGCCGGTAAACTAGGTCTGTAATCATGTGTTTGTTAGTTGCTAATTCACTTGAGTACCAGGCTTCTAGGAATTAATTCCCTGATTGCATTTTTGTTGTTTCCTCTATTTAAAATTTCTACATTATTCCAATCAAACTGGTGTCCATAATTATCCACATTCATTGATACGAAAGAATATATATATCATCTCTTTTTACAGCTAATTTTGGGTTTTTGAATTCGGATTCAAAGGGGATGCCCACTTTGACTGATATATTGATTATTGTAGTTCATGCAGTTTACTGCCAAAATCGTATTAATTTGATCTACTTTTTCTGTTGGATATTTTCGTTTGCACAATATCGAATGAAGTGATTGTGCTGGTTTGTGTGCTATATCTGTTTCTAACGGTCTTAATAATCTAGCTGTTGTTCCGGAGATCATTAGAGACGTAAATTAACAACCAGTCACCATAGTGGTTGCCAGCAGACACAATTACATCACTCGTGGAGAATTCAAATGAGTTCATTTTATACTAAAACATGAAATGAAGCATGTTGTCTAGAAGAAAGACGAAAGCTTCGCAGTTAGATCAGCTGGCTAAGGAACACAACTAATTAAATGTCATACACCTGAGCTACAAATCTTCTCCATTATTAGACACACTTGCCTCAAAACCTGAAGGACGTGATTTCAATCCCAAGTAGACTCTTTAGTGTGCACTAATGACAAGTCCTAAATGAAGCTGAAAAACTCATCAGTTACCCATGATATTCAGTGATTTTTAAAATGATGAAATCTGTATCAAAGACGAATACTGACATGTAGGCTTTTAAAAGGCTATCAACTGGATTACAGTATTACAGTATCGATTAATCTACAAACCAGACGTACCTGTAGTGTAGCTGTTCCAGTTAGTTGAGGAGTACCTTGATCAACTGCAACCACATTAAGAGTGTATGTGTCTTTCACCTCTCTATCAAACACATCCAGCGTGGTAATGATACCTGTGAGTGAATCAATTTTGAATCTAGTTGAATTTACTCCATCTTCAAGAAGGAAATATTTCATTTCAGAATTAATACCAGTGTCTAAATCAGTTGCCTGTAACCACTGGGATAATCCATTCTGATAAATATTATTGAAATGACCTCTAGTATTCTTTTGAATTTGTTGTCTAACCAAAGTACCGACTGGAGCATTTTCATCTACTTGTAAGTGAAATGTATCATGAGAAAATTTGGGTGGATTATCATTTTCATCCATAATACGAATAGTAATATTTCTTTCTGTATAATGTCCAACCATATCAGAGCATATAACTGTAACAATTTGATGAGTTGTACTTTCACGATCTAAAATTCTCGATGTGACTAAATGATATTCTGTCAACGAATTCGCTGCATTATTTTGATCATAATCAGGTTTATTTTGTGCTGCATGACGAGTAAGAGAAAAGTTGGCATCTTTCAAATTACATTCTACTTGATCTTGTCCACCAAAATCTGGGTCGTATACCTGGAAATAAATCAGCGGGAAAAGTTACTGTGGATTTCTGCAGATGGAAAAGCATGACATGCAGAAGGTTATATATATATATATATATATATATATATATATATATATATATATATATTTTGCATATATTATTATTTATTAAAACTTTTTACAGATATGAGTTTCAGACGGATTCTGAAATTAGTAACAATGGAAAATTTATGGCTGCACACATATTTCTTCTTTTTAATATATACTCGTACAACCAAGTATAGGAACTCAACGATACCATATTTGGCGCGTGTTCTAAGTGACAGAGACAATGTTAAGCGCAAAACCTATGACTTGGTTTGTTGTTAATAACATAATTTTTGCCCTTTTATTTCTCCCTTATTCTCTCTTATTTGTAAACTATAGTGAACAACCTTCTTAATTATACTTAGCTACCTGAAATTATTATCATTGGCTTACTTTTTTATTCTTTATTCTATTCCTTTTTTGTGTATCTACTGGTTCCGACTATATTATCACTATGAGTATTACAAGATTGTCCTGTCATTAATCATCATGTAATATTAGTTATGTGACTGTTTTTTTTTGTTCGGCAATATTAACCGACAATCTTGGTTGTGAACGCCGTTATCACCGTCTTATAATTTTGTATTATGCAGGATTACTCCCACTACCACTACAAACACCGCATTAGACCTGACAATAAAAACCCTGAAAAGTTATTTTATGATTGTTTAGTGTTGTTTAATCAAACTAACTGATCATCTTGGCTATAAACATTCTTAATATCATTTTCATAACTTCTTGTATGATTATAGTTTTACTGTTCACCACGCATAAACATATCATAACTTCCACTACCCAATACTGAGGTATTACTTATTATGTTGTCTATTTTCCATTCTACTTCTTGGTATTTTTTCGCACTTTTTTGCTTTTTTTAATATTTATTTTTTGAAATACTCCTTTTAAATGTTTGATAAAATTAGATGCTGAAATTCAGTAGATGTGTGCTGAAAATTCCACACTGTACCACTAATACTGTTTCTGGAATAAAGCAAAATTATCATTATTACTATTATTTTTCTCTGAATTAGTAGTAGATTTATCAGTCTAAACATTCTGATGAATACTTCCAGCTATTTAAAAAAGAGCTTGCTTCAAACTTTTAAGTATATATGGAGTAATATACGTTAGTAAGACTTTTAAGACCGCCAACTGAGTATCATTGAATGATCATTGCTTTAATGGACTACATGCTATACCAATGATAAAGCATAGACTAATAAAATCTGAAGTGCATAACCGTTTCCTTTTGAGATATCAAGTAATTAAATATTCAACTTAGATTCTGTGTCAACATATAAATACGGATGGCATATCTATAACTCTCGGTATTCATTCAAAGATGGCTTCAAGCTTGGAAGTTATTTCGTTCTCTTGTGGATGTTGTGCCTTCAATAAACTAGTCAGGGCTTTCAGTAATCAAAATTTTACCGGTTGCCAAATTGAAGTTATAACCAGCAGCAATTTATGAGCATTCATTATAGCTAGTGTAACTATGACATAAGTTGAAAAGCCTTTCGTTATTTCATATTCTTAATGCTGTGACTTCAGAATATTAGTATGTATCTGAACTCATAGGTTAGTATGAGCCAATGTGTTTGTAAATCACTCATTATCAAAGTTATAGCTGAGAATGCCACACGGTTTGTATTTCTGATTCATGTGAATTGTTAGAAACCTTCTATGGAAACCACATCCGCCTCCCAGTGTATCTGGGGCGAGATTACCAACGTATCAGTTCAGATCATTCAAAATATTTCCAAAATTGTGTCAGTAACGGTAGGCATTGTGTTTCATTTTGTGCTTTTTCCTCAGTTTCACTAACACTGCCAAATGAATTACTAGTTATGGTCATATAATTTTGGATTTTAATATAAGATCGTGGTGATATCTCACTACAAACTGTGTAATTCGCAAATGACTAGTTTTATTTCGTCTGAGAGATCACAAGCAGAATTTTGCTAAGAATCAGTCATTTACTACTTATCTACTGCTTTCATATATCCTTTGAAATAGTTCCACAGAACGTGATTTTCTAATCTTCGTCATTCTGAATAAACGCTTTCAATGTGAAACGGTCAAGCTTCAACTTTAAACATCCGAGAGACGCGAACGCAATAACGACCTTGGAAAGAGCAGCTGCGTTAAGGGATAAATTTGGTCCCCTAACCCTAATTTTCACAATAGAAATAACAACAGTGATAGCTTTATTATGAGAAGTGCACTCAAACAAAATACAGAATTTTCATTGGGTTTATTAGCGAGGTATTTACTTGATGTGAAGAATCTTTAAATTATATGACAACCGATAATATGTCACCTGAAGCACTATCATTCTATCCGAAGCATGTTCCAATACTACCCCACAGTGCTGTTCCTCTAAATCTTTCGAAAAATTCCTAGCGATAAGTATAAACTTATTTGAAACTGTTCGCGAATATACATTGCGGTTCACTGTGGTAATTAAGTGCTTAAAAGAATATAAAACAGAGTAAATACAATGCATTTTGAGGAATAGAAAACTTAGGTAGCTCAGTGATTTAAATAGGCCTCCTGACCCTAACCTTTCTTTAGCTCAAAACTAAACTTAATCTTTCCCGAACCCAATCTAAAACTAACTGGATATTTTGTTTGGTATCATTACACTTCATTCAACACTTTTTTATGTCGGTAATATAGTGTTATATACCCTGTTTCACTGCCTTTCTCTGTCTTCACTTTTTAGGATAAATGGTGAGTTCGCTTCTCGTCAGTGTCTTAACTTTAACTTCGCCGTGAAGCAGTTTTCATGGCACTTAATAAAGTATTAATGTTCTAGTCAACTACTTTATGCGTACCTTTAACCATAAGTGATTTAGAAAACTTTCTTTTTAATTGGGCAAACATCAAAGAAATATAAATGAAGGAAAGGTTAATTTCACACTGCACTATTATTTTAGAAATGTATAAAGGTAATGATATTTAATTTTGATTTGTGAGAAATCAATAAAGAAAACTACCATTCGGAGTGCGTGTGTGCGTGCGTGTGTAACAGCTTTTCATAATTATTCCCACAGATTTCTAGATAAGTCTAGATGCCAGTAGATTACGAAATAATTTCTGTGTAATGTTGATCATAAAAGCGAAGCAATCGTCAAAATCTAATCAGATGACTGACACCCCATACAGAAAATAAATAACCTTTGATGATATTAGATGGTTGGAGGCAATCGGCAGGAAGCCTTGGACCTAGGTTACTAGTGTCAAATCAAAATATCCACTACAGTCATACAGGAGGTCAGTCGCGAGCCCGAATAGCTCAGCTGTTACATCTCTGACTGCGGCACTGAGTGACACGAGTTCGAATCTCATAAGGGACATGAGTTCCTTCGAGGTCACAGATACGCTTTGCTGACAGATGAGTCCCAACTAGCACGAAACCTAGGTCCAAGGCTTTCAGCCGATTGCCTCCAACCATCTAATATCATCAAATGAATGTGCGCCGTGATGGCAAGCTACCTAGAATGGTTGTCCTATTACAACCTGACTGATAGAATTCAGTCTGCAATGAAGAAATGACTGGGCACATCACACTAGTTACTTGTGTCCAATCAAAACAAATAACCTTATTCACACATGTAACTTTATTTCTGTGAATGAGTGTTACACATAATGCAGTATAGTTCTAATCGCCATAATACACTTACCTGTATACTTGCAACAACAGTACCAATTGGTTGGTTTTCGAATACACTGAAGTAACTGAAAGGATTTGGTAGTGAAACACTATCTAATGTATTTGTATTGATCGCTTCCGGATTATGACGTACTGTGATGATGGGTGATTCATCATTTTCATCTGTTACAAGTATAATGACAGTTGCTTCACTTGAACGTGTATATGGTCTTGTGGCTTCGTCTTCGACAATAGCACGAAAACGAAACTGTAGGTTAACACCTTTACTGTTATGCATACTGATGTCATCATTTAATTGTTGACGTATTCTCAAATTTGATAACATTGGATTGTTATTGTTATTTTTATTATGGTTAATATTTAGATCAAGTTTATCTACATTCAGCGGTTGCCTAACTATTATCTGACCATTTGGACGTATATCAAAGTAATGCCTAGCAATTTTCTCATTCGGTTGCCAGTAATGATCTTTACTGAAACCAAAGTGATAAATTCCATTGATACCGGAGTCTAAATCAGTAGCATTCAGTATCAGAATAGTTGTCCCTACAGGTGTTGTCTCAGGTATTGGCATTGCTGTTGTAAATATGGGTTGAGTAAACTGTGGTGTATTATCGTTGACATCTTCAATTAAGACATCTAAATACAATGTTGAGGTGAATCGTTTTAAATTAGACTCATTTGACAGTACTGATGAAGTTGAAGTAGACGGTGTATACGATCCATCTATCGCCTTCAGCATTAACTTGTATTCTGATTGTTCTTCACGATCTACAGGCTTTGTTGCATATAAATGTAAACCATCAGTTGAATCTTCAAGCAAACTGAATGGTATGGGTGATTTATCGAATAGGTTAGCTGAACTTAACTCATATGTTATATGACCATTTGAACCTGCATCAATATCTATAGCTGGTGGTATATTACGACGTGAACCAACTGGATCACCATCTAAGAATGTGATACGGAATCTTTGTAGATGACCTTGCCAATATGGTGCATTATCATTAATATCTTGAATATTAATCCGTATATAAAATAATCGATTTTGTTTCTTCTCTTTTATATCTGTTTCTAATTTACTGGTCATAGAATTTTTATGATGGGTAAATAAGCCGATTTGTAGGATTATAGGACAAGAAGTACTTTCTGCTTGTATGTTGGTTTGCTGACGTAAATTTGAATATATATTTGAAACTGATTGTGTTTGTTCACCTGTTATAATAGATGAGTCTAACTGTGGCTGACCAGAACATATTTGATCACGATCTAACCGTCTGTTAACTATTAAGCGTCCGTCGGTTTTAATCTGTACAACAAGCGGAAAACAACAACAGGGGTAAATTTAACAATTTTTTTTACAGATATTTGAAGTGATTACATAGACCTAATCCTATTACTTATTCATCTTCCTATCATGAACTTGATGAAATACTTTTTGTATGGACTGGGAAGTAGCGTGTGTTTTAAAATAGTCCATACTTAGTCTGGTCATTGAAAGTAACAGTTAATTCAAAGATCCTTAAATGGCTCTAGATAGAAATTTAGTGTATAAAAATGGCGACTTCACAGATTACTTACAGTAACCCTGTGATATCATGATTTACCTTAAAACCCAATGAAAATATTTTTGTTGTTGGAGTTTATACCTCTTTTCTGCAAATCCTGTACTGCTTTTCGCTGACAACCTATAATGCCACACAAGAAGCTTCCATTACAAAGTAGTTAAAACTAAGTTTGATCCAACTATGCGAAAACATTTTGCTCCAGTTTAAAGGTAATCTGAAATCAGTAGTTGACTAAATACGCGTGTCAGTTATAGAGTAATTATGAAATAATTTTATTTTGCCTAGTTCTGATAGTTTCACTGTGGATTGTACAGTGAATTAATATCAGTTGGAGGTACATTAGAAACCAAAGAGAAATGAACAGTTGTTCCGTCCTAGTTGGGACTTTTCAGTAGTGCGCACCCATGACTAGATGACCCTTAGTTTGTGAGGCCGACCCGTTGATCATTCAGCCACTGGGTTGGACTGGAATCGCCAGTGAATTCTGGCCTCTATTTATTCATAATACACCACCATTGACAACCGATCCCATCAATGAGAATCCACTTCACCTTGAAATGATAGATTCCACTGGACATGAATTCTCATTAGAACTTCAGTACAACCATCCAGTATTCAATAGTGAGCTGAAGATTAATATTTAAATTGTAGGTTTCGCAGGCGATCAATCCTTTATGTGGTCATGGGTGTGTATTGCTGAGGAGTTCTGAATCAAGATGAACCAACAGTACAGTGCTCCCTGGTTTTTCAATGTTCGCCTAATTGATTCGTTGCGAAACCTGAGTTTAAATCAAGCCAAATCCCTATAAAACCCATAATCTGATTAGTTTTGATGATATTCCATTTTCTTTAAGTGTCCTAAAAGTGTACCATGTTTCAAATAAAGACACTCTGACAGCGTATCATCAGCTTCATAGATAGATGTTAAACTGTCTCATTTGTTGATATTCTTTTGATACAATTAACAATTATTAAAAGCTGTTATCTCGTCTGATTTACAGTGAAACAACAATTTTCGTGACAAAAATTATAAGAATTCTAATACCAAGTGTGGTGAGAGCAGGCTGCTAGCCGATTGGTTGACACTAATCTACGTTAATGTCTAGGTCACTAATATGGGCCGTGAGAAAATATGAACAAGGCTGTTTCAACAACCAATCACAGCAAACTTAAATGTGGACAAATATGATTCGCAGATAGATGGCTCTACTTTCCGAGAAATATCGAAAACAACCAATCATAAGACTGTGTTTGTCTGCTTAACTTCCGAGAAACAACCAATCAGAAGACTGCCTTTTTCTGCTTGCATAAGCCTTATTAATGCACATAAAATATATATAAATACGTGTTGATTTTCGTAATAAAACGATCTGTTGCCAGCCCTTGTCTTCTGTTGTTACATTTGGTGTCGCTGCCTCCAAAAAGATGAAGATCCCGTGGCCAGCTGCGTTTGAAGAAGGAGACATACGGAGCTTCTTACGTGACTTCGAGGCCGTTGCTGAGCTGGTGGGTGTCAAGGAGCAGGCGGCGAAGGCAGTTGTCCTGGGGACGCTGTTGAGAGGCCGAGCGAAGGCTGCATATGACAGCGTAGACAGGTCAAATGGCACAGCGTCTTGGAAGAAATTGGTTGAACGACTAGTGTCCGAGTTTGACAGCGAAACAGACAGACAGCTAGCAATGCAGCAGTTCCGGTCAATGAAGCTTGGACCTGATGGAGACCCGCTAGTGTTGGCGGTGAAACTGACTAATCTACTTCGACGCGCGCTTCCCACTTTAGATGAAGAATCAGAAGCGCAGTTACTGTCTTCCCAATTCATCGAGAGTGTCCCAGACCACATTTCTCAGCGATTACAACTGGTTAACGCAACGCAGCCGATGGATATTAGTGAGCTGGCGAAGGTGACCAGACAGCTGCTGAGCACAACGGTAGCCGCTATAGACCAACCAAAACCAAACGAATATGAGCAGAAAATTGAAGCATTGCAGCGGGAAGTGGCGGCGTTAAAGTTGGCTGATAGAAAAGACCGGTGTTTTGAATGCGGTAAGCCGGGACACTGGAGAAGATACTGCCCAGAAAGGCGAAAAAGAAAAAATTTCAGACGGTATAATGCTTGTTCTTTCTTTCGTATGAACCTAGATTTAGTGGGGGCTATTGAGAAAGGGGCTCTGTATTCGAAGTTGCGAGTGAATGATCGAGAAGTAGTATGTTTGATAGATACAGGGGCGGCCGTGTCGTTAATAGATAAGAATTTATGTAAGAGTGTTAGTCCGTGTTCATTGACAGTACAAACAGTAGGCGGGTATGTGTTGCGTATCACGGGTAGATCGAACTGTACGGTCGTTGTTGGTGGCTGCGAGGTGACGTTTCCTTTCATTGTTGTACCCGAACTACAGCGAACGATATTAGGAGCGGATTTTCTGCGTGAGATTGGTGCAATAATCGACACGCAAGCGAACGTGGTGATCACGAAATACGGGCATATCAACATGTATGAGACCAGCGAGATAGCAGCGATTAAGCTGTCGACGGTACACAATGTGACAGAGTTAATTAATAAATACGATCATCTGTTCACTGGAGATGGCGACCCATACGGTTATTGCGATAAGGTGAATCATGAAATTCCGTTAAGTGATCCGAAAGTAAGGTCATTTTTAACGCGAAGAGTTCCATGTCATCTGGAAGGCGAAGTGGAGCGACAAGTGCAAGAGATGTTAAAAGATGACATTATTGAGGAAGCTGATAGCCCGTACAACTCTCCAGTGCTGTTAGTAAAAAAAGCGAATGGGAAGTATAGATTCTGTGTTGATTTTCGACAGTTAAACAGTATGACAGAGTTAAGACCGTGTGCCATGCCAACAGTGGTAGAAACTTTAGATCGCCTACAAGGTGCGAATGTGTTTTCGGTTCTCGATCTTCGCTCAGGATACTGGCAGATACCGATAAAACAAGGTGATAGAGATAAGACGGCTTTCATCGTGGGTCAGACACAATATCGATTTAAACGCATGCCGTTTGGACTAGCAGGTGCACCGTTTACGTTCAGACGACTGATGAAGCTATTACTTAGAAACTTGAAAAACGTGGAGGTTTATGGTGATGATCTCGTCATATACAGTCAAAACGAAAACGATCACGTCAACCATGTAGAAGCCGTGCTGCGACGCATCGAAGAGTTTGGACTACGCGTCAACAAAACCAAGTCTCAGATAGCCAAAAAGAATGTTACTCTGTTGGGACATAAAGTGGGAAATGGTGAGATTAAACCACTGCCGGAGAAAATTTTGACGATTAAAACGATTCCAGCCCCGAATTCAAAGAGAAAACTGAGACAATTCTTGGGTAGAGCAGCGTTTTATAGTCGCTTCGTGAAGAACTTCAATGAGATAGCAGCCCCTCTATACAGGCTACTAGGTGAGCCAAAGTTTGTTTGGTCGGAAGAATCGCAGAGGACATTCGACAGAATTAAACAGCTGCTCGACCACCAACAAATGACGCTAAAACTACCTGTGCCAGGAAGACAGTTCACAGTGTGCACAGATGCCAGTGACTACGCTATAGGTGCGGTCCTAAGACAGGACGAGGGAATCGTTGAGTATGCCAGTAGGGTTTTGACCCTCACAGAGAGAAAGTATTCAACGATAGAGAAAGAATGTTTAGCAATGGTATGGGCAGTCGACAAATGGAGACCTTATTTACTCGGCCGGCGGTTCCACATCGAAACTGATCATAAGCCGCTACAATTTTTGAAGACAGCGAGAGACCCACGGGGGAAGTTGTCACGGTGGATGTTGCGTCTTCAGGAGTACGATTTTACGATCTCACACGTTCCTGGAAGTGAAAATGTCTTGGCAGATTTGTTATCGAGACCAGAAGATGAGTCTGAGTTGCCCGAGGTCGCTTACGGAGTGCATGCAGTAGAACAAGACCCACTAAGACTTGCACGTAGGCAGAGGTTGGACGATACGCTGAATACAGTAATACAGGTGATCACCAACGGAATAGAAGTGGATCAAACTACGGCGAGTAAGGAGCTAACCACACTACTCAGACAGAGGGATCGACTCAGAGTGAATGCCTACGGGACTCTGACCTGGCGAGAGAACGACGGAAGCTGGCTGGCTGTCATACCTCAATCGTCGCGCCACGACATGATAGAAGAATGTCACCAGCTAGCGCATACAGGCGTGGCCAGAACGACCGACCTCCTAAGACAAAGTATGTACTGGCCAGGTATGAGAGAAGACGTAGCAAGATACGTACTTGGATGTCCACGGTGCCAGCTGATGAAAGGTGACCGGTATATACGACCACCACTTCAGTCGATTCCAGTTACCGCGATAGGTGACTTGTGGTCCGTAGATGTCATGGGTCCATTTCCTCAGACATCCAATGGTAATCAGTACCTCTTGGTGATGACGGAACACGCGACACGATGGGTAGACGCCGTAGCAATCCCAGACCAACGTGCAAGAACCGTGACAGATGCAGTAGTTAGACACATTGTTGCAGACCACGGCGTACCGAAGACAATACTGACAGACCAAGGTCCCTGTTTCGAGAGTGAAGAGTTTACTTCCCGTTTGCAACAGCTGGGCATCAAGAGGATCAGAACGACCCCATACCATCCACAAACGAATGGCCTAACGGAGAGAAACAACCGTACACTGAAGGAGTGGCTGGCCTCGAAGGGCGGGAACTGGGAAACGGAGCTTCCACTGATTTTACTAACACATCGGG